TCGGCACCGACCGCGCGACGCCCCCCCCCGCGACGGCGCGGCCGCCCTCTCGGCGCCGCGCCCGCCCCGCCCGCTGACGGTCGCCGCCGAGCGCCGCCGCCCTGGGCCTCGCCAGGCCGCGCGGCGCGGTCTCTGCCCACCCGCCCCCCTGCTCTGCAGGCTGGCCGCCGCCGCGCTTGGGGGCGCCGCCGTTGCGGCGCATCGTTGATGGCGCTCTGTCCTTGGCTGCGATGCGCGCGCCGGCCTTGGGCAGGTTTCTGCTTCTCCGCTCCTCCTGCCTCTCCGCCCTGGGCCCGCGCCGCCTGGCTGCCTCCTGGCGATTTGCATGTAGGGGGCCCGCCGCGCCTGGCCGCGTCGGCTCGCCCCCCGCGGCAGCCTCCACAGCCGCTGCACACTGGCCCAGCCAGCCCGCGGCCGCCCGCCCCGGCTGCCGCCCCCCAGCCCTCCTCGCGCGGGCGATTCCAGTCCGCTTGCCGACCGCTGCTCTCATTGCCACCTGCTCGGCCCTGCCCGCGCTGCGGCTGCTGGCCCCTCCCCCGGGCGCGCCTGCGACGCCCCCCCGCGCCGTTGCCACGGGTCGCCCCGCAGCCCGGACGCCCCGCGCGACCCCTCGAGGCGCCGCCGTGAGAGTGCTTCCCCCGTCCTTTTTTCCTCGGCGGCCACCCCCTTCATCCATTTCCTACCCTCTTGCACGCGGGACAATTCGCAACGCGGTAGCCCTGGTTGCGCGACGCGTGACAAAATCGGCTCTGCCGTGCCGCGACGGAAAACGTTTGGTTCAACCCAGGCAAATCTGGCGAAGTGGCCCGTTAGATCAGACATGCGTTGTTTCTTAACGTTGCGGCGCTTGTTCACGACAGTCGACAAGGACAGCGACGACGACGAGCATCATGTTGAAGCCTCAGAAAATGCTGCATGAACGAATTGTTCCGGAGCCCGTGCATATATCTTGGGACGTTTCATCGACCCCCTCTGCGGTGCTTCTGGCGCCGCCCCTGGCGCGCGGAGGTGGCCCACCGCCGATCCAAGAAACCAATGCATTTCTCCAGAATTTGTCATGTTTATGCCGTGCTTTATTTAGGAGCGCACGGACGACTTCATTACAGGGCACAGCCCACCGAACAGCGATTTTACTGCGCGGCACAGAAGATTGTTCAACGGCAACGCACCACCGTGCGGCAGACGTCTAGAAGGCTGGTTGCTGGTTCGAGCTGTTTGCGGGGATCGCGGGCCCTGCGAGTTCGTTGTGGCATTCGGACATATCGAGCCATCTTCGAATTCCTTTGGACGAAGTGAAAGTCGTCGTGAACATCCTTGGGCCATTTCGGAGGCCATGTTGGGTCGTCTTCTAGGCCGTCCTGGGCCAGATTGGCAATACGTGAGGCGAGTGTTTTGATGTTGCTGGTCTTCCACATGGCCAGCACGACTGTCCGAAGCCCGCTAGACGTCGGTACCGCCAGTGTTTTTCTAGTGGGCGCGCTGCCCAAATAAAGATACTTGGTGTGACGCCTTTTTCTTTCGGTTTCCCAGAACTGAGCACTTGACACGCGCACGCGCGCGCGCTCACTTCAGCCATGTGGCAGTACTTAACCCTGCTTTGCTCCACCATCTTCTGGTCCACCGTACGAGTACCCATAGGGGAAGCCCAATGAAGCGATTGGCGCAGCCAGGGGTATGGCTTTAACCGTAGGTGGGGTCATAGCTTTAGCCATAAGTTTGGCCGTGGGCGTGGTTTTAGGATGTCACCAGGCATAGCAAGACCGTGCAAGAGCAAAACAGGAGTGTGGGCCCGACCGAAGCACGTGCGATTGTTTTCCAAACAGGTTGGGCACAGGCCTGCTCATTTGGAGAAACCTCCTATCCTGCCAGTCCCATTCCTCTATCTTCCTCCTCCTCCTCGTCCGAGCCATCGCCCCTCTGAGTCGCATTCTTTGTCTTTGGCACGGGGGCCATCTTTGGGGCAAAGGCTCGAAATTTCAGTTCGGGTGCCGCCTCTTGAGCCCCGTTTGACCCTCTTAGGGCTCTCTTGGGGGCCTTCCGGGCCGTCTTGTGACCTTCTTGTGGGCCTCTTGGGGGCCTCTAAGAGCGATCTTTGTGGCCATCTTGGAGTATTGGAAGCCCGAATCAGAGAGAATGTCAAACCATTTCTAGTGCTTAGGGAAATCCGTGATTTGTCCCTCTTCGGGCCCTCGTTTGGGCTCTGCTGGAATGATCTTGGACCGTTGTCGGCGCTTGTTGGGCTGTCTTGGAGCCCGTGGAGACGTCTTGAGGCTCCATCTTGCGGCCCTCAGAGGGAGTTGGGCGTCGTTGTGGGCGGGAGGGGCGTTCAAAAGGTTCATGAGCCATATCCAGGGTGCGCCTTGCTAACGCCAGGCGCTGAAACATATTGAGAAGCCATGAAACTCGAACAATGTCCTGAGCCTCAGGGGCCCTCCACTTCGTGCTGAAGGTACGGTGGCGGATAGTGGGAAGGACCGATGTCGGGATCCCCCTTGTCAGACACATGAGCCGGAACGCTCGCCCGCCCAAGTTCAGGCTCAAGCACGAGAGGTGGCAGCTCTTGGCCCCCAGCTCTCGGCCTCATCATCACTCTGCTCTGGGCATCGGCAGCTGCACACCGCTGCCAGCTCCGGTCCGCTCTGGGCCTCAGACTGCCAGGCAGGCCGCTCGTTCTTGGGCCGGGAGGGCCCGAACACCACTTCAGCCCAGGATGGACAGCTGCCCGTTTCTGGGCAGCTCCCGGGCGGAAGGCGACGGCAGGGCGCGCGGACTCGCGCGCCGCAGCCCCGGCTCGAGCCCGGGCGCCGCCCGGCTTGCGGCTTCGGCCAGCCCGGCCCGCAGGGGCCGCGCCCCTCTCATTCTCCAAGAAGCTCGGGCAGAGGTGCAGGGACTTGGCGGCGAGCAGAAGGGGGTAGGGGGAGGGGGGAAGGCTTCTTAGAAGCAGGGGTGCTTCTAAGAAGCCTTCCCCCCTCCCCCTACCCCCCTCTGCGCGCCGCCAAGGGACAGAGGGTGAGAGAGCCAAGAGGCTTTAGTGAACAGGGTCGCAGGGGGCAGGTGGGTCGATGCACGGGGCGAGTCGGGACGGTATCTGAAATGAGCCATCACGCAGCAGAAGTTCGTTGGATTGATACTGGAGGGGGGGGGGGGGGGGGGGGGAAAGTCCGGCCTCGGCAAGGGGGCAGCGCTTGTTCACGTATGGAAAGGGAGCTCTTGTGGTGCAGTTTGTGTGATGCAACTCCCATGCTCGAGCAAGCATCCCACCTAACCGCCCGCAACTTGTCGTTAGTACTCAACTGTCGCAAAGGCAAGTGGGCCATTCTTATGCAGATCCATACTTGGGGCGGTGAAATCATGATGGTGACGACGACAGTGTCGACGGCTGCGTTGATTCTGATTGTGGTGGTGTCGACGACAATGACGATGACGATGACGATGACGACAGTGGTGGTAATGGTGGCATCGACGGTAATGCTGGTGGAAATGGTTGTTGGCACGATGACGATAGCAATGCTTCTTGTGGAGTTGATGAGTGCCGGTGAGGATGGTGAGGACTTGCGCGCGCAGAACCGCACACATGCGTCTCATTAGAAACAAGTGTTTCCCAGATGTGTCTGTTCACTTGGATATTGAAGCAATTCGAGCACAAGTGGCGTCGACATGCAATGGTTAAGAGATGCGCGTACGCAGGCGCGCCAGCGTGGTCCGCGTTGTAGTAGTTGACAGGATCTGCGGGTACGCGATGATTGTTCACATGGGTTTGCAGGTGCGCGCGCGTGTGGCCTGCATTGTCTCATACGACAAATCGGCCTGCGAGCGCACAGGAAGAATGGAAGCATTCCGTTGAAGAAACGATTGTCGGTTATAGTTACTGCTTCAGGTCATGTTGCAACGAGCTGGTTTTGAAAGGGGTTTGACGTGGTCGCATGCGTGTTGCCCGCGCTTCGGTGTTGTATACATATATAGTACGTTTATGTGTACACGTGTATACCTACAATAATATATATATATATATAATAATAATACTAATTAAAATTTAAAAAAAAAAAAAAAAAAAAAAAAAAAAAAAAAAAAAAAAAAAAAAAAAAAAAAAAAAAAAAAAACGTCTTAAACTTATCAGTTACTAAACCAAGCGTGCACCCCGCATTGGGTAACTTGACAGGGATGTCGGGGGGGTAGTGACTGGAAGATCGTGCGCAATCCGTATTGGAATGCAGAACGAAACACCGCACCGATAACCCTGGCCTCCGCGGAGGAGGGCAGGAATCGAGCTAAACGGTGTTTTGGCAATTTCGTGGACCGTTTTCGTTTTGACTTCGTTTTGCAGCAAATGTGGAACGAAGAAAAAGCTAGGGATAACGAAAACAAAACGAAAACGGAAAACACTGTTTAACTCGAGCCCTGGGGGAGGGTAGAATGTTACCCTTCCACAGGAAAGAGAACATTTGCGGTGCAAATCTCTGGGGTGCAGGCCTTGCCGCGCAATCTACGCACACACAGGGTGCAGTGCCAGGGTCGCAACGAGGCGGCGGCGGGCGGACACTGGAGGAAACCCTGGAAGGCATCCTCCTCCTCCTCCTCCTCCTCCTTTCTCCTCCTCCTCCTCCTCCTCCTCCTCCTCCTCCTCCTCCTCCTCATCATCATCCTCGTCCTCGTCCTCCTCCCTCCTCCTCCTCCTCCTCTCCTCCTCCCCCTCCTCCTCCTCCTCCTCCTCCTCCTCCTCCTCCTCCTCCTCCCTCCTCCCCTCCCTCCCTCCTCCTCCCTCCTCCTCCCTCCTCCTCCCTCCTCCTCCCTCCTCCTCCCTCCTCGTCCTCCCTCCTCCTCCAGAAGACCCAGGCAGCACCCTGAGGAGTGCGAGACAGCGCCGGGCGGAGGTCCTCCCGAGGGGCCACGCCCCCACCACCCGGCCTCCTCGGGAAGGCGCCCCCCGGGCGCACCGTGCGGAGCGGCATCGGCGTTCACTCCCTCGCCCCGCCCGAGCCGAGGGAGAGCGAGAGAGGGAGAGAGAGAGAGAGAGCATGGCCGCAGCCGCGCCGTGGGCGAGGGCGCTGGCGGCGGCGGCACTCGCGGTTTCCGCAGCGGCCACGGACGGGCGCGACCCTGCGCCCCGCCAGGATCGGGTTCGGGCTGGGGGGGGAAGAGGGAGCTGATCTCGAGTGCGATCGAGCAGCACTTCGGATCAGCACCGGTTTGTGGTCACACTTGAGATTGGCGACAAGGAGGACAGCCAGGAAGAGAACGAACAAGAGAGCGACGGCGTGGAGGAAGAGAAAGAGGTGGATGACGAGATCGAGGAGGAGAAGGATAACGTTTCTGGACGTCTTACGCAGCACAGCATGCACGGAAAAGGGCAAAGGAAGAGGGGGATGAAGAGACCTCAGCTGTCTGGCGTGGGAGCCGATCCTGCCGATGAGCTCTCAGCTTCTGGTGTGGCTCTCCGTGGAGCGCCACCGGCAGGACCGTCTTGGGAGGTCGGGCGTGGCTCGGAAGGTTGCCTCGTGCGATTCTGGCGGGATTCTGGGAGGAGGAGGAGGAGGAGGAGGAGGAGGAGGAGAGGGGAGGGGGGAAGGAGGGGAGGAGGGAGGAGGAGGAGAGGAGGAGGAGGAGGATGAGGAGGAGGGTCTCCTGAGGTGGAGGGAGGGGACGAGGAGGAGAGGAGGAGGAGGAGAGGAGGAGGAGGAGAGGAGGAGGAGGAGGAGGAGGAGGAGGAGGAGGAGGGAGGAGGGGAGGGGATGAGGAGGAGAAGGAGGAGGAGGAGGAGGGAGGAGGAGGAGGATGCGGGTGAGAAACGGAGGAGCTCGTAAGGGCTCGATCCCTGGGGCTGGGGGACTGGAGCGGCGGCGGTCCTCGGAGCCGCGGGCTCCGTCGCGGCATCGGGCCAGCGTTGGCCTCACTGGTGGTCTGGGCTGGCGCTGGGACCCCGGCCCCTCTTCCCTCCACCTCAGGAGACCCTCCTCCTCCTCCTCCTCCTCCTCCTCCTCTCCTCCTCCTCCTCCTCCTCCTCCTCCTCCTCCTCATCCTCATCCTCATCCTCATCCTCATCCTCATCCTCCCTCATCCTCCTCCTCCTCCTCCTCCTCCTCCTCCTCCTCCTCCTCCTCCTCCTCCTCCTCCTCCTCCTCCTCCTCCTCCTCCTCCTCCTCCTCCTCCTCCTCCTCCTCCTCCTCCTCCTCCTCCTCCTCCTCCTCATCCCCATCCTCATCCTCAGCCTCAGCCTCATCCGCATCCTCATCCCTCCTCCTCCTCCTCCTCCTTCTCCTCCTCCTCCGTAGCCATTTTGGCTCAAGCCATTTGGCTCAAGCAGCCGCGAGGCGAAGGTTGAGGGCCGCGGCCGACGAGACACGTCTCGTTCAGCATCACGGCAGCCAAACCCCACGGGGGTACCGCATGTCCTCTGAGGCTTGGAGCACCTGCAAGAACTGTGGGCGGCACGAGTGGAACGCGATCCTGGTTCAGGCGCACAAGAAGTGCTCCTCGTGCCACCGTGCTGTCAAGCTCTACCAGCCCAAGAAGGGCAAAGGCGGCGTGGCAGGCCGCAAGGGAGCAGATTCCGAGCAGGCGCTGGCCTTGGCCCCTCGCACAGCCAAGCCAGACACCGCCCCGCTCGCCGTCCTGGAGAACGCCCTGGCGGCCACCGCGGGCGACATCGCGCTGACCCGCGCCCTGCAGGCGAAGATCGCCAGCATCAAGGCCAGCGAGATGAGCTCCCCGCAGTCGGTCGAGGAGGCGCTGCGGCGAGCGGTCGGGGCGGTCAAGGACGCCGAGCTGAAGCACGACCAGGCCTTCGAGGCCTTGCAGCGATGCGAGGTGGCCCTCATCAAGGCCCGCGGGCGAGAGAAGGACTGCAGAGTCCAAGGCAATGGCAGCCAAGGCCCGAGCGGCCAAGTTACCTGGCGCGGCGGCCCCAGCGGCCAGCGCCGCCAGTGAGGACAACGAGCTGTTCGGCATCAAGTGGGACGAGTCCTTCTTCGCGCAGTTGGACGAGCTGGAGGCAGAGCCCAGCGAGGTCGAGTCACTTCGCAAGCTCGAGGCCGTCTTGAAGGCGACCAAGCAGGACCTCACGGCCAAGAACACGGCAGCCCAGGCGTGGCTGGCCCGCGCGAAGGAGCTGCAGGCGCAGATCCAGACGCGCTGGGCCAAGAAGCGCAGGGGCGCCGATGGCACCGCAGCGGCCCCGCGCGCTGAGTCTGGACCCTCCGACGGCGGCGCGGGGCCCAGCGCGGGGGCAACGGGCTCTGGGAGCAGGCGGCGGCGGCGGCTTCCCAGGAGACGGCCGACGTGAAGGAGGCCAGGCTCAAGGAGGCGGCGGCCAAGATCACAGCAGCCAAGCAGGCCGCAGCGGACGCCGCCTTGCCGGCAGCCGCTGCCCAGAAGCCTGTCGAGTGACGAGCGCGGCATGCTGGGGTAGAGAGTGCGCCTACCCCCAGCACAGCCGCATCCACGCGCACAGGTGACGACGAGCTGCCGACCCTCTCCAAGAGCGGGGCCGACACACTGTTCCTCGTTGCCAACATCACCGCGCTGGGCAAGAAGGCGTGGAACTATGTTCGGAGCCCTCGTTGCCAACATTTCCATCACTTCGGCCTGGTCGAGACGCACGTGCATGCAAGTAAGGACGTGCTGCATTGGCGCCACGAAGCCAGGAATCACCGATTCAAGTTACACGTTAATCCAGCGAGAGCTTCAGGCCGTGGGCGAATTGAGGCCACTAGAGACAGGGCCAACGAGGGAGGCGAGATGTGGTTCTCTCGCGGGCACTTGGAATTTACATACTTCGACCGACGATGCTGCCGTTCGGGGCCTTCACTTCGAGGGCTCAGTTGCAGTGGGCGGTTTTGCGGCCATGACGGTACATCAACATGGGTTTGCAGTCATCGATATACTCTTCTACGGATACAGTTCTGATGGTTTCGGAGGGCGCAACTTGCAGCGCTATGCGCGTTTAGGTGCCTTCGTTTCGCAGTTGAGATGACCATGGTTTATCGCAGGCGACTTCAATGTCACGCCTGAAGTACTTCAGTCACGAGGATTTCTTCGGCGCATCGAGGGCGTGGTGTACACTCCCGATATCGACACCACATGCGAGTCAGGCAATGGGTCCATGCTCGATTACGCCATCGCCAGTCATTCTTGCATGCCTTTCATCGCGAAGGTCACGCCCATCTTGTCCGCGCCTTGGGGCCCGCACTGTGCGTTGCAGATTCGGTTAAGGAGTTCAGGACATAAATTACTTTGTCGTGAACTCGTGCTACCAGCGCGGCTCCATCAGTCCCCTCGACCTGGAGCCCAGCCCGCGCCTGGGCCCAAGGCAGGGCGACACCGACAACAACGGCTCGTGCAGAGGGCTGCGGCTCAGGAGAAGGCTACTGAGGCGGTGCAGGCAATGTTCGGCGACCTGGGTGACACTGAGCGGGCAGCGGCGCCGCTTGGGTCTTGTGATTCTGATCGCGAGTCCGACGGTGAGCATGAGGCTGCCCTGTCTTTCTTTGATCAATCATCTATGCCCAGTGCCGATCCCATTTGCGCGCCAGTTGCCTCCCTGCCTCAAGAGCCATCGCATGTTTTGTCGCAAGTTTCGGTTTCATCAGAGGTCACCGCCCCCACGGACCAGCCCGCGGCAGACTAGGTCAGGCCCCCCACACACACACACACACACACACACACACACACACACACACACACACACACACACACACACACACACACACACACACACACACACACACACCACCCCACCCCACCCACCCACCCACCCCCACCCCCACCCACCCACCCCCAACGTGTGGAGCGCTTGTCGTGAGGAGGTCGGGTATGTCAGGTCTCACGAGGAGGAGGAGGTTCGGCCCGTGGTCCGTGATTATGTCGCCTACGCTGTTGGCGGACCCCATGTTCGCCGTATCAGTGCCATGTACGCTGCCTGGGTCACCACCTTGGAGAGCACGGTTCCGACACATCACGGAGTCAAGTTCGGCGGCGGTCTCTCTCGGGCTCCAGGGCCTTTCTACCGCACCACTGGGATGAAAGCCGCCGAGAAGTGTCGGGGCCAGTCCTATCACGATCTCGTGGCCACCTGGTGGGGTCGTCTATCTACGGTTCTGTTTCGTTTAAGCAAGCATCGGCGACGGGGCAACGGACGTGCACAGCAGTTTCTTTTATGCGATGCAGCTCGTGCTTCGGCTGAAGATCAGCCTGCAGGCGTACACATTCCCCTGGCGGGCACTCAGGGGCAGGAGGAGGAGGACACCAAAGGGGCAGCATGGAGTGATTGGCAGGCCAGGCTTATGCGAGTTTCTACGTTGTCCGACGACAGTGTGCACAAGATGGCCAACGCGGCCAAGCGTGCTGCTGCCCGTGCTTGCCGTCGGGCTGCAGGAGGTTCTCTTAGGGACTTTCGCGAGTGGGTCACCACCCCTGAAGCCTCAGGTGTCCTTCACAAATCGTTGAAAAAGCCCCCCCCCCCCTGCCCCCGACGAGCTGCGCGTCGGCGGCCGTGTTTTGGCCCACCCTCGGGACATCGTTGATCAGAAGGCCCTGAAATGGCAGGCTCCTTGGAGCCCCAGTCAGGTTCAGGTTTCAGAGGTGGCCGACTTGTACGCAGAGATTCGAGCTGCGGCAGTTGTGGAGCAACTTGAACCGCTTCAACCTGCTCGAGTGGCGCACGCGCTGCGCGCCATGAAGGCCAGAGCAGGGCGCGGGATAGACGAACCCACACACACCTCTAGAGATGGAACGTCCCCCCCCCCCCCCAGGGGCCCCAGGAGCTCACCAATATTCTCCAGGCTTGTGAACAGTGCGTCGCGTGGCCTTGGCAGATCCCGGTGGTTCTTGGGAGGCTTCTTGGGAAAAAAGATGGGGGGATAGGGTTATAGGTCGCATGTCAATGATCTCTAGGACCTGGTCTTTTGCCCGAGAGGGTGTTACGCGAGCATGGACTCGCGACACCCAGCCCGACTGGGACGCGGCCGTCGCGGGGAACTCCGCGCTCCGCGAGGCGCATCTTCGGGCCCTGCGTGATGAAGGCCTTTCACGTATGGGGATATCGTTTGGTGCTGGTTTCTTGGATAGCAAGGGATTTTACGATGCTATGCAGTGGGGGTCCTTGGTTCGCACGGCCCTCAAG